TAAAAGAATCGGACGGCGGCCGTCATTACCAACTACTAATTAGGAAGCAAAACCCAAAATAGGCGGCTAAAACCTCRACTGCCCCAAGACATACCCCCAATGGACAATGAAGAGCTTAGAGCCCTCATCAGAAGATGAAGAATAACCAATACTAGGTATTAATATTAAATTATATGTATCATAATAATTATTATTATTACTATTATTATAACACATTACATAAACTTAAAACTTATTACCATGAACTAATATATTATATCATTACTATCATAAATTTAAATGTATAGATTAAATTATAATCGTAAATATATTTGTAATTGCACCTGGTGTGCTGAAACATTTTTAAAGAATAAATAAATAATAAAAAAAAAGTACAATATTATTATATTAACCCGTTGTAGGTATTTACATAGCATGGTTTATGATTAGGTTTCTTCTTACTCTATGGTTTAGCTATGTTCATCATAATATTCTTCAACTGTGGTACCTATATGACATACCTGTGGTATGTAGGTGTTAATTATTTTCTGTTTTTTTGGTTAGGTCGCAGTTATTATGTTTTTCTAATCATGGAAAAATACATACATTATTATAGAAGGTAAAATATTTGTAAAATATTTGTACAACATTTTTATATTTATAATAATAATCGGAACAATTGCAGTTTAGCTCCCAAGCGATTTTTTTGATTATTTTAATTGAAACATATGTATTTTAACGAGTTAAGAASGATGGTGCAAAAATTAGTTGGTGTAAACCATTATTTTGAAAGTTATAGCCTTTCAAATTCAAAGTATGTGATTTTACGTTTTTTTTATCGCGCGCCGCATGCGTATTACGACGTTTTAATTTTTTTTTTTTTAGGATTATAATTATATTAACTAGGTAGATTCTGTGATGTGTTTCATGAAGTACTCTCGCATTCAAATGATTATATTTAAATTTCAARGTAAAATCAGAGCTAAGAGTTAAATAACAAAATTATCAAGTAAAGTGGCTACCTCCGCCTACCAKCTTCGGTCGCCATACTCGATGGCCAGTTAGAGACTTAAGACCCTAAGACTTAAGAGTAACATAAGTCAACAGCTGTTGTGTTATATGATAAGCGCGCCGCACGCTGCGATACGTACTATTTGTC